TTAGCTATTGATGCTTTGGAGGCGTATAAGTTGATGTTAGAAGACGGGGGAATGAGTTTGAATAGGATAACGTTTTCGACGATGCTTATATTGTCTTCGGACAATGGTTGGATTCGAATGAGTAGGCAAATTCATGGGCAGATAGTGAAATGGGGATTTGAGTTGTATGTTTTCGTGGGTAGTCCGTTGGTTGATATGTATGCAAAAGCAGGGCTTATTTATGAGGCTGAAAAAGTTTTCAATGAGTTGCCAGAAAGAAACGTGGTGATGTATAATACAATGATTATGGGGTTTTTGAGGTCTGGGATGGTTAGAGAGTCGAAAAGTTTGTTTCAAGATATGCCTGAGAAGGATTCCATTTCTTGGACAACGATGATAACGGGGTTAACACAAAATGGTCTTGACAGGGAAGCACTTGTCTTGTTTAGGAGAATGAGGTTAGAGGGGCTGCCGATTGACCAATTCACATTTGGGAGCATTTTGACTGCTTGCGGAGGCCTCCAAGCTATCGAAGAAGGAAAACAGCTTCATGCTTATATAGTTAGAACCTATCACAGCGAGAACGTGTTTGTAGGTAGTGCCCTTGTTGACATGTATTCAAAGTGTAGAAACATCAAGTATGCTGGGTCCACGTTTAGTAGAATGCCCAACAAAAATATTGTCTCATGGACTGCAATGGTCGTTGGATATGGACAGAATGGCTTTAGCGAAGAAGCTGTTAAGGCTTTCTGCGACATGCAAAGGAATGGAGTTGAACCAGACGATTTTACTTTAGGAAGTGTGATAAGCTCATGTGCAAATCTGGCGAGCTTGGAAGAAGGAGCCCAGTTTCATGGTCGAGCATTAGTGTCAGGCTTGATATCTTTCATTACTGTTTCTAATGCACTTGTGACCCTATATGGTAAGTGTGGCAGCATAGAAGATTCTCACAGTCTTTTCGATGAGATGTCTGTTAAAGACGAGGTCTCTTGGACAGCGTTAGTGTCAGGATATGCTCAGTTTGGAAAAGCCACTGAAACAATTGATTTGTATGAGAAAATGCTGGAACATGGTCTTCAACCAGATGGAGTAACTTTTGTTGGGGTTCTTTCTGCTTGCAGTAGGGCAGGACTTGTGGACAAAGGCAAAATTTATTTTGAATCAATGGTGAAAGAACATGGAATTACGCCTATTCTTGATCATTACACTTGCATGATTGATCTATTTAGTCGATCCGGGCGTTTAGTAGAAGCCAAAGATTTTATACAGAAAATGCCTTGCACCCCAGATTCAATTGGTTGGGCTACACTGTTGAGCTCATGTAGAACCCATGGTAACATGGAAATTGGCAAATGGGCAGCAGAGTCCCTTTTGGAACTTGATCCAGAAAATCCTGCCAGCTATGTCTTGCTCACAAGTATGTATGCTGCGAAAGAAAATTGGGCTGAAGTGGCTCAATTAAGAAGGGCCATGAGAGATAAAGGTGTGAGGAAGGAGCCAGGATGTAGTTGGATCAAATATAAAAACAGAGTGCACATTTTCTCTGCTGATGACAAGTCAAGTCCATTTTCAGATCAAATATATGCAGAACTGGAGAAGCTAAATGCTAAAATGATAGATGAGGGTTATGTACCAGACGTAACTCATGTCATGCATAGAGTTGAAGAGTCTGATAAAATAAAATTGCTTAACCACCACAGCGAGAGACTTGCTATTGCCTTTGGCTTGATCTTTATCCCCCCTGGACTCCCCATAAGAGTGGTAAAAAACCTAAGGGTGTGTGGTGACTGCCATAGTGCAACTAAAATCATTTCTAAGATCACCCAAAGAGAAATTCTTGTAAGAGATGCGGTTAGATTTCATTTATTTAAGGATGGAAAATGTTCTTGTGGAGATTTCTGGTGATAGTTTTCCCACAATTTCAAATCAGTTACGAGGAGTGTTACATGTATCATATGAGGAAGGAATAATCACGCTGGTTCTCTTGAAAGGATACATTTGCCTCCCATGAGAGGTCCTGTCTATGTATGTTGGTGGTATATCTAATGGTTCAACTCAGAAGGCTGGGGAGCCGTTTTCATAAGCACTTCACTTCGGAGCTCAGCATGCAAGCCTAAAACGAGGAGTATCTGACTTAGGAGGCTACTGATCCTCTTAACAATGTAAGTTAAACTTAAAATAGCTGACTATACTGAAGAAATACAGCTCCTTGTATGTTTTCAATATTTTGTTGTAGCTTTCAATTCATAGACACATCAGTATTCAAAAGTTCCAAATTGCATGTTAAACTTTGTTGTATATGGGTGGAAATATAGACAAAAAGAGGAGTTGTCTCGGATTTACTTGTAGACTATATATAAGATGTTCCTTATAAGTTTAAGCTACTAAAAGTAACGTTAGTCTAGACTACATGAGATAAGGTTAGCTATAAAATAAGGAATATTGCCTCTGTAAGTACTAAGATTCTTAATTATAAGAATATTATATACGTTTAACCTAAACATGGAACGAATCTAGAGCATTCTAATACATGACTGGTTTAACCCTTTTGACTTCCAACATACCTTTTCAAGCTCAACTCTCAAGATGATCAATTAACTTGAGTTTGCACATCAAAACAGGAAACTGAAGTCGAGTATGCCAGAAAAAAGTTATTGTGAAGGTCTTCTGCAGATATCATCTAAATAGTGTAGTGGGAATAGTTCAGAGTCACCAAAATAGAAATTAGCGGTGATTAACTACAACAGCTTAACAAGGTGCATCTTACACCACACAAAGAAAGTTATGGTGTTGCAAATTTCCAGGACATCATTAGAATAGCTTAAATTAGCGGTTTCTGAGTAACTAAAAATTAGTCCTACATCATCCCCGTCCTCTTTTCCATTGCACTATCTAAGCAAGGATCAAATTAGTTCTATGCTAGGAAGTTACTTACCAAAGAAACAAATGTCAAAGAGGACTAATTTGATCCTTGCTCAGATAGTGCAATGGAAAAAGAGGACGGGGATGATGTAGTTAGCTTCTTGCTGTAATTTTCTTTTGAATAGGAGTAGCATATGATTTTTTGTATCTCGTACAAAGAAGTTGTTTTCTGCTGTTAGGAAAATCTACTGAATTTTGAGAATTTTCCTTCTTTTGCATTTTGTATATATTTTATGAGATGAAGTTATAAACATTGCCCAATGTGTTCGTATGTTAGCAAGGAATATCTGGTGTAGTAGCTAAGTACAGTCTACAGATTGACATTTCTGCATTATGTGATTGAACGGACACAGATACATAGCCTGACTCAATTGACTCAACACAAATACATTCCAGTAACGTAAAGGAAAATATTCCTACAATGAAGCAACTGTGGACTGTGATAATGAAACATAAATCTTGAAGTTAAGAAGAGACATTGCTTCTCTTTAGCTGTTCGATAAGAGGGCTTGATCCATCTCATTATCCAAAAAATAGGAAGGCTTCGATCCATAGAAGCAATGACCATAGCTAATCCTCTTGTTGTATCGATGTGATAGACTCTAACTGAATTTCTTGTGGATTCTAGAATATATGCAAAAAAGCTCATTAGACTAAAACATAGGTGTACAATTGAATTGTAGAATGAGCTTACGAGAGAAGCCAGAAAACATTACCTGTAAGCGGCGACAGATTTCAATAACTTCAGCAAGGGGTGCCCAGTCTCCAAAGTTCCTTTCAATAAATTGATAAGCAATTCCACTCTTTCCTTTGCCCACAATGAAGAGTCCTCCTTTTGTCTCACCTTCACCCCTGAAATTTTGATCCACCCCCATAGCTTTTGCTCGCCTATAATTTGAAATAGCTCGAGGATTCAATAGAAAACCTGATATGAACTTGTCTTTTAGCAGATTCCCACCTCCCAGAGCTTTATAAAATTCCATGTTTTTGTCAAAGAGGACTACACCACCCCAGTATCGAGGCCAGAAATCCTTTACCTGGATAACAAAACCCAGCATAATAAACCAGGTCCTTCCGTAGAAATGTCAACAAAAAAAGGTGGAAAAAAGTTACCTCTGATTCTATTTGCTCATGAAGAACAGCAAATAACTGAACCCCCAAAGCATCAAATATTGGTTTTCTTGCATAAAGTTGGTGGGCTTCAGCTCTGCACATGATGCACCTGTTTCCATAGTCTTTTTGGTATGAGACTGAGTAATTCATGCTCATAGATAAAAAAATTTAATTTCATGTTCTTTCTTATAAAATATAAATACCCCTTTCTTCTTTTTTGATATGACCATGGTTTCCAGTTCATAAATACCCCTTGTTTGTTAAAGGAAAAAACATTCCTAGGTTGCATCCTTCATCAGTGAATGATAATTTAGTGGGATAAAAAAGATTATTGGATTTTCTACTCTGTTTGAAGTTTTATGCAGAAATTGACTTGAGTTTACTTAATCCCATAAAATTCTTGCAAGTGGTGTCTTTTTCCTGTTTACTGTAGTATGTGTAATATCCTATATCCTATACATAGCACAACAATTGAGCTACATTTAACAAATTATAGGTGTGAATTGGAGAAATGATTTGATGCTTTACCCAGGGCGACGGATGCATACAAACACTGCTGGTTTATCCCGCCAGAGCTTTGAAGCCTTCATCGTAGCAGTCTTTCTTTTCACTAGACGCTCCATTCCAATCTTGTACTCTGGTGTTAGTTTCTGAACTGAGATATTCTCTATGGAAGAATAAGGAGCAACAGTCTCAACTACTGGGGTGGGCTGCACACAGCCACATGCTCTAGGCTCATCGGGCATTGAAGCTACAATTCCTTTAAAAACATGTCCACCTTTAATTTCCAGCTCAGCCATTGATTGTTCAAGGGATATACCTGTCTTGGTTCTTCTAAGGGATCTTGTCATACTTAGCTTCCTGGAGGTGACTGGAGAAATATCCTTCCTGTAAAGACTCTCATTTGTTGAGGTGGTTCTTCTCCTCATGTGGAGGTTATAGGTTTCTGACAAAGAATCTCCCCCAGAAGCTGCAGTTCTGTCTGTAAAACGGGCAACATGGCCCCTTTTCATTCCAAACTTTGAAGTAAGATCTACTGTACTTAAGTTTTGAAGCTCAGTAAGGGAATTCCCTGACTCCTCAAACTTATCTGCGTATTGCATCAGAGCTCGATCATGCAGGTACGACCTGATTTCCAGTGCATCCTTGAGTAGGAAAGATACAATCATCAGAAGAATAGCTTATTTGTTTCCATAATTTTTCAGATGTGCAGAAAACAAGCTTAACAACTTCCTAATCAAAGTTTGTTTCGGCAATAATCATTCAAATGGGAATAGAGGCATTTACTAGGTTGATTTCTCAGATGGTCACTCAACTAATAGTTATTATCTCAGAAAGTCACCATTTCAGAAATCAACTCGGCATTTACTACTTCTTGCATAACACTTGTTTCTTTTGTTGCAACTTAATTCTTATGATTATGTTCTTAGAAATGGTTTTTTTTTTCCTCAGGGAAACACAAGAATCACTCAGCTGCCAACACAGATGATATTCTCTAGATATATACAAGAAGACCGAATTTAGTATAAGAACCTTTTGCCGTTTAGTCATGTTCAGCTCATTCATATCATCTACATTCATAATCTTCAATGTTGGTACATCATCCCACCCTTCCTCAAGCAGCATTGGAACTAGTCCCTGCAGACATCCATTTCCAACAAAGTCCTCGATCGCGAAAGAAGCCATCTTCTTCTCAAACAGAGAAAAAACTAGAGCAACAAAAAATCCTGTGATGCAATCAATGAATGTACACTTTTAACATACATATATCCACACAAATTTGAAATGCATTCACTTAGACAATGTCTATGGTTCTAATTAACTCCCGTAGAATTGTAACGTACAGTCTTAATAGTGATTGATGAACTACTTCACTCGTAAGTTCTCTAAAAGAAGATTTTTGAATTTTGTGGTGTTAAACCGAAAGATAATGTTGAATGTTATTGAAATCTCTTTTTTAGTAGTTTAATCAGAGAGGGGGCCTGATTAGATATTTAAAGCTTTGTGGGCGATTGTCTCATAACAGCCGGCCAAACATTTTTGCCAAAGATGCAACAGGTGTACCTTTGATTTTATTTATTGAAACTAATAATATTTAGGCCGGAGAAAGGTGATTAGATAAGATATGACACATCGAGAACTTGGCGATCAAACTTATGGTGAAATGTTAGTAGGTAGTTTCCGTTTCCTTATACTCTCCTATTATATCTTGTTCTTTTGATTATATTATCACCTGTTATTTTCTTTAACTTCGATTACTATATTATGTTGTTGCTAGTGTTTTCAACATGATTTTTCATTATCGTATTTCCTTTTTGAATTCGTAAGTGTTACTTGAGTCGAGAAATCTTTACAAAATTGGAGTAACATCTGTCGTATGTCTACCCAACACAACTTGTGGGATTATATTTGATTTCTGAGTATGTTGTTAATAATATTTGGTTTGGTTGGTATTCAAAGAGAACAAAAGCATATAATTATTATTTTTCATAAATATTTTTTTTTTAAAATAGAAATATATATTTGTATTATTCGATGTTGCACTAAAGCATTATTACAATATGATCAATATCGTTCTCTGTCAAATAACAGTGTATACTAATTACTATTATACCAAATTACCAATTATATCTTTTCATAATAATCAAGATTTCATATTTTTATTAACGATTTATTAATATTTTAAGGGTATTTTCATGATTATCTAGACGGAATAAAAAAGACGTACAATATACATGCCCAGTGCGGTATTTTTGTAAATATTTTTTTGTAACTATATATGGGGTGACAATTTTGCCTAATTTTTGGTACGTATATAATATCATATAATATAATTTTGTTGTAATTTAATGGGCTTCATAAAAGAAAAACCCCACTAGATGCAATTATACAAACATGAAATGACAGTTCACCTTTTTCATATTAATATCAGTAGCAAATTCTCAACCAAAAATGAATAAAACAAAAATATTAAAAATATTTTTATAAAATGTCACTATATCATATGGTAATTCAACTAACAGTTACTATATCACAAAATTACTTCTTTTTTTTTCTTTCTTGTTTTCAATTTTTTTCGACTAGCAAAGTGATTTATGAGATTATAAGTTGAGTGATCATCTGACAAATCAACTTGATTTTTCGTTAGCGGTATAGGAAAAGATAATCGAAGTAGAAAGAGCTATGAGTAGGGGAAAATAAAAGTAATTGCCTTGGGGATAAAAAAAAGCACGACCTTATACTTAAAGATTTTTCTTACGCTACTTCAGGGGACCGTCCTTATATTTATAGAAACTTAAAGAGATCATCATGACTATTCAGAATAGTCATGTTTGTTCACGAACAATGATCGTGATCGTTGTGTCTGTTTAATTCAAGACATCTGTACTTATTACAAGGTAAAACTAGTTGTGTGTATACTTGTAGCTTTTTCTTACGCTACTTCAGGGGACCGTCCTTATATTTATAGAAACTTAAAGAGATCATCATGACTATTAGAATAGTCATGTTCGTTTACGAACAATGATGGGGATCTTTGTGTCTGTTTAATTCAAAGACCTCTATACATTATTACAAGGTAAAACTAGCTGTGTTAGCAAAATGTGGCATTTTGTTCAAATGCATCAAGATTTTCTCAGCCATTTCCCTTGTACAAACATCACCATGTTGAAATGCACTAACTACAGTAGCAGGGAACAACCTGTCTTGTGATATATCAGAAACAGATTTGTCCCCACCTTTTGATAGAAACTTCTCAATTAGCCAAAATGATTTGTGCCACAAGACATTTCCTCTGTGTTCCTTCACCACATTTAGTACATGTTGAATGGTTTGCATCTCAATCAGTAACTTAACACTCTTGTCTATATCGACTTTATCGTCTAGTAAAGTCGATATAGCTGATAATGCTGCTTCAACTACCTCCACATTGTCATGGTGTAAACAGGACAGTAGCCTTTCAACTGCCTTAGCATCGATTAAGCAGAAGCTGTCTTCAGCAGAACAAACGCCTCGGTGGACTGAGCATAATGGTACTTTTTCGGACTTTGAACGCAGAGACATACATCTTCTTAGTAGATTAGATTTAATGTACTTGTTGCTCTTGATTGGTGGTGGTTTTGATAAGTTGACTGATTGATTTGATAAGTTACCTAGACCAATCGCGGATAACTTTTGGACTTCATCGCTTGATGTTTTCACGAGTAACTCTGTGAATATGTATGTGAAGTTGAACGTTCTTACTACGTGCAGGATTTGATGATCGTAGAGTGTTGTTGTCAATCTGACAAGAGCTCCTACTAGACCATCAAAATATGCACTTGTGTACCTGTTGAAAATTTTATGTATTAAGTTTAAAGACTACCTTCTATACGACTAATAAGAGTGTTGAGAATACCTGCTTGTTCTTGTCCCACTGACATGGATTTTGTTGATTTGTTCTATGATTGTAGGAATTGTGTTCTTATTGACCAATGCTAGGTTGAGTGTCATGTTTTGGTGGGGAAGCTTTGCAAGAAGAGTTGCGGAGACTGCTTGCTTTTCTGTGATTAGAGGACTTTCAGATGGATTGTGAATTAGGCTCTCGGGTTGTCCTTTGGTTTTGCATAATCTGTCTGAAATTGTGTGTCCCATGAAAGGAGATAGAGTGATAAGAAGCTTAAGTGCTGCAATGCTGAGTTCTTCGTCAGGGTTATTGATGAGCTCGATTAGATTGTAGCTAGCATCTGTTTCTTTGATCACAGAGGTAACGGTAGACGAGGCTTTGGGATACTTCATAAGGCATATCAAGATTCTAACAAGGTGAAAATTCATTTCTTCAGGGGTTGAATTCTTGATCCTCTGGATGAAGTTGAATATAATGTAATCAGAAGCCAATGTGTGGCCACGCTCGTTGACTTGAAGATTCTCTAGATCTAATCCTGACTCGAGCACATTTGCAAGTATACCAGCTGCTTCTTTCTTCGAGTTCATTGGCTCATCATGAATCATTGTTCGAGTGATAATCTCTTCAATCATGATTTGGACAAGGCCAGCTTGCACAAGTGTGTTAGCATTTGGATGGTGAGAAGAAATTTGTTGTAGAGCTACAAAGGCTGCATTCCTGCTCAAAGTATTTCCACTCTCTACCATTTTGATCAAAATCGGAGAAACTCGTTCAGCAACATAGATTACGTTGTCAGGTCCAAGCACGATTTCCCCGAGGTAATGTGCCATCTCCATTTTCATCTCTTCACTCCCTACTCGAGTTTTTTGGTAGTAGTAACAGTCAGTACATGATTTTCCAAAGAAAGAGTAAGGCAAACAAATTGAAACGAGGGAGTACATGATTACCTTCGAGGAGATGATTTAAAAGTGGCTCGAGATATCCATTTTCAGCCATGTGTTTGATGTTGCTAGGATATTTCTCCAAACTTTTCAAGACTTCATCAGCTTTATCTGCAATGAATGCATCATCGGTATGTCTGTATTTGGCTGTAATCAGCATGAGGATGGCTCCAGGAACCGCCCCAACATTATAACACAGAAACTGGGATTTCGATAGCTCAATCAAAAGTCGAAGTGATGCATGTCTAATAGGCCCGTGATTACTTGACAGCATCCTTGTGACTGTAGCAATATCGATAGTTTGAGCAATTACTTCCTGCATTTGTGCCACAGCTCAACTCAGCAACATGTCTAGAGGATACTATAATTATGTCGAATGTTGAGTGGAGACAAATAAAATGTGAAATGTCATACTTCCTCCGTTTCAATCTGTTTGTTAGTCTGTTTCAAAAGAATGTCTCTTTCCTTTTTTGACAACTTTTTAGTTCTAACTTTCCAAGAGACACGTTAAAGACCACAAGATTAAAAGACGTTTTGATACATTCTACATATCTTTAGTTTAAGACCATAAGATTCTTAAACTCCGTGCCAAGTCAAAACAGACAAACAAATTGAAACAGAGGGAGTAGTAGTTGCGTGCTTTTTTTGAACTTGAAACATTTCAAGGATAGAAGAAAAAGACTATTACCTCATCATCATCTTCAGCTAAATATCGCAGTAATTCCAACGTTGCATATCTTATAGTTCTGTTTCTGTTATCCAGTAAATTCCCAAGCAGTGGTATTACACCAATGCTACGAACTTGTACCTTATTATACGGTTTTCTGAGGCAAATGCTGTTCAAATCTTCGATTGCTTTGAGTATTATATCCTGTGTCGTAGCTGAAGACAATGCTGCCCTTGCAGCCTTGATCCTTGCTGTTTCATTTCTCTCTTTCCATTCGTTTATCGTTGCTTTCAATGCCACATTAGTGCTCAGATTTCTACTCTTTAGCTTCTGGCCTGACTTTGGACATATTATTTCTTCGCGGTTATTATCAGACTTGTTAATCCATTCTGATATCGCGTCCCTCTCATATGTTACTCCACTTTCTATTGTGACAGGATCCTCCATAATCTTCTTTGTTAAAGGACAAAAGAATGTTTCGTATAGAGGTTCCATGTATTCAGACTCAGACATCCGTGGCAAATTTGTTAAAGAAACAGGACTCCGGTTCCCATGATTCTGGAAATGAAAGCCTCCGCTGATACTGCTTCTCGAA